CCCCCTCCCGCTAATTGTGTAGGTGTCTTTTGGGTCCATGTTCTGATGCAGGCAGGGTTTTGGAGAGATTGCCTTCTGTGCAATAACTGCAAATGAACAGGTTAAGGGCTACGGAACGCGGCTAATGAATCATTTGAAACAGTATGCTCGGGATGTAGACGGTCTCACTCACTTCCTCACGTATGCGGATAACAACGCAGTCGGCTACTTCACAAAGCAGGTTTGTCTGTTGTCTTTTTTTTTCCCTACCAATATTTCAAGTTTCCGGAATGTTTGTCGTTGCCCATACGTTCTTCTGTCGTATCATTCATCTTTTTTTGAACTTCTACTCCATTTCTGCTTTGTTTACTCTCTGTTGGCATTTTTCGTTTTTATTTGTTTAATTTCCTGATCTTGTGATTTTTAATAAAGGCAAAGGAAAACGATTTATTGAAAAGGTTTAAAAAAGTTAAAAAAAGTTAAAAAACTCATAAAAAAAAATTGTCGCTCTCAGTTGTCGAAAGCTCCCTTCTGTTCTTCCTCTGAGAGCGTATGTGGCCATGGGTTTTCCAACTCACTTGGATGATCCTACCTATGATGATAAATAGCCCACCTTGTGTCAAGTTGTGTTTGTGTGTGTGTGTGTGTGTGTGTGTGTGTGTGTGTGTGTGTGTGTGTGTGTGTGCGTGTGTGCGTGCTCATCCACCTACATGTAAGTGCTGCGTGCATCTGGAAATGCCATGGCTAGCCGTTCCCCTCCCACTGCCTGTGTGCAAGACACTCTCTCCTCTGCACCTCCACCCCCAGCAAGTACATCTGTCGGCATGATCAGCAGGCCTTTCACACTGGCGGGCACAGTCCTGACACTCTATAACAGATCGAGACTCAGGCAAGGAGTCAGCAGGAGTAAATCAACGGTGAACATGCACTGTGCCGATGCCTTCAGTCAAAAGTTGTGAGCAGGAAATCAACTGTGAAAATGCCTGTAGTCAAGCGCTGTGGCCCGCCCTTCACAGTCAGAAGCTTTCCCTGGTAAACAGTGCATGGATACCATGCGCTCTTAACTCAAGCTGATAGCTCATTCTTCCAAATCACCAAGGCCCATTTGCAGCAAAGTTGCAGCGAAGTTGCAGCGATGCTCATTGTCTGCTAAAAACTTTAAAAAAGTACAAAGCAATCAAACTAACAATCTACTTAGTTCTGCTAACTGTTAAGAGCATAGAATCCATGCACTAATAGTTTGCTTATCCGCCTGCATCTCGGCAATCCACACAAATGGCTACTGCATAGCGCTGCTGGATAGCACTGCTCAACAGCGCTAATGAATAGTGCTGCTGCATAGCCCTAACTGGATAGCACTTCTGCATAGCCCTAATTGGATAGCACTACTGCATAGCACTCATGGATGGCACTGCTGCATAGCGCTAATGGATATCACTCCTGCATAGCTGCTACTCTACTTTGTACTAACCCTGCCCTGCTGAGAGGCCTCATGTTCACCCTTGAAGGGATTGTATGCATGTGCATGGGCTGATACATGAGCTGGTTGTCTGTGTGTATAGGGCTTTCCTCTTTTGCCCACCCTCACAGAACTGTGTGTTATCGACACCCAGGAGGTCGTTTCGTTTTGTCTCGTTTCGTCTCGTCTCGTCTCGTCTCGAAATAAAGGTGGATTGCAGAGGATACGTAGTACCCACAATGTAATTTAATTGAATGAATAATGTCATTTAATTAATTGAATTGGGGAAGGGATCTAAGAAAGTGTCTGATAATAAGGCTATACTCAACATCACCCACTTCATGGAGAAAGGGGCCTATATCCAGAAATATCTATCTATCCTAATCGCAAGCTGAGTTGGAGGCTCGCGGCGTCTCGCCTCGCCTCGCCTCCCCTCGCCCCGCCTCACCTCGCCTCGCTGTGCCGCACCGCGCCCCAGGCTCGCGGCGTCTCGCCTCGCCTCGCCTCCCCTCGCCCCGCC